GCAGATATTTTGCCCTACTCTGTCTATTCACATATAGTCACGTATACAAGATGGGCAGCTATATAAATTTACTAAATAAAATAAAATAAAATTTCTGCTTTAACCAGTGACTTATGCTGGGAGGCAGGTGAGAGAAGAATGCTGATAAGAACTTCCCAAAGAGCTACTTCAAAAGTGGGAGATGTTCTAGAAATGCTTCTCTCACCTGAGAGCCCTGTCGCAAGAAGTTGTTGCCTGCAAGTCTCCATTTCATAGCCTGGAAAAAATGCGAGGCTCTTCTGTAGTTTCACATTTTTCAGTATCGGTAGTTCTGTCATTTATACACAGACTGTTTCCTAAAGTAAATAACTGGAAAGTACAATTTCTCGCATTATAGTCATTATAAATGAGTTACCATTAATTGGGGAACAAAGAGAAATTAGTCTTTGGAAGGAAAATATCCAGTATTATGGAAAACCAGTAGTAGCTGCTGACATTAAGAGTCTTGAATTTCTTCAGTACAGTTCTGCCCTATACCTTTAGGCCCTTTCCACACAGAGATCAAGATTGGCCGTGAGGATGCCATCAAGCAGTTGTGCAGCATTACAGCTACAAGTGGACAACTTCCCATTGATCTAAACTCCAGCCTTAACCTGCTTGCCTCCTCCCCACTCCCCACCCCCTGTAGCCTTCCTGCAGCCAAGGTGCTTTGTCACCATCTCCCATTCATTCCCAGTTGCTTTGAGAGAACGGTGGCTGGTTGGGTTTTATTCTTTTTCTCTTGCCACAGAAAACAAATATGGAACAGTAAAGCAGAAATGGAGATGGGATACTGACTGATGGCCTGTCTTTTTTTGTGCCTGCTCATGGGCCAGCTGGAAGGAGCAGACTCAATGGGGGGAGGGTTTAGCAGGTGTCCCTCATGCAGTAGCTGTAGAGCAGTGTTTCTCAACCTTGGCAAATTTAAGATGAGTGGACCAACTCCCAGAATTCCCCAGCCAGTTGAAGTACACACATCTTAAAGTTGCCAAGGTTGAGAAACACTGCTATAGTGTTTGAATGCTGGGGGCTATGGAGAAATGCCCTTAATTTACTCTTTTTGTCTGGGGGGGGGCACTGAATTGTCTTAAGCAATTAGACAAGTAAGCCATGAAACCCACCAGTGTCTCTGAACAAGGTAGCATCTCAATTTATGTATGTGTATACATTTCTGGACATATGGTTACACATACACAGTATTTCATATGTGAGTTTAACAGAGTATAAAAATATTTTTTGTAGAAGCTTCAGCATCTTCAAGAAGAAAAGAATAAAGAAATTGAATTTCTCCGAAATACTATCAAAGACTTAGAAGAAAAGCTCGACAAAAGACTATTTTAAACTGCAGCAATTTTGAGAATGACACAAGGCCACACGCTTTTATTGAGGAGACAGAACTGAAAAGAGCCACACACACTGAATTCACAGATATTTTCATTTATTAAAAACATTGTTTGTCCATATGAAAGCTCTCCATTGTATATTCTGAACTACTTTCCCTCTTGTAAGCATTTACCATAAAAAAATTCAGGTTTTGTAGGTGAACTGGTTTCCCTATTAAACCATCATGAATATGGCAAACACAATCTGAAGAGTTTCTTTCTGTTGAACATTTTCTTTCTTCTCTAAATTCTCCAAACAGAACGTGCAAAAATTCAGTTAATTTGAAACAATTAATTATACTATTTTGCTACATAAAGATAGGAATTATACAAACACATTTAATCATTTACAAAAGATTATCCAAACCATTGGCCAGCAGAAATGATGGTTAAGTGTAGATTTTAAATTTTATCACCAGATATTTTATTCTGGTGATAAATGAAATTAGTTAGCACTTGATCCGTCCCATCCCATCTCTCTTACCTCATGTTCCTAAAGACTGTTATCCCAAACTTCAAAGGAACTTTGAGAGTGAAGAGTTTCAGAAACACAAAAATTGATTTAAAAAGATCTTGTTACAGGACTCCACCTTAGGTAATTATACCTAAAATCTGATGTTTAGAGTTGGGAATTCTGGCAGACTTCTTGATGAAAATACTTGTTTGAAATATCATGCACAAAGTCCTATACAGTTACTTTAAATGGCTCTAGAGTTTTGGGAGAAAAACATTTTCATCTATTCACCTGGTCTTAACACATAATTTTAAAACCTAGTTAACATATCTTTTCTTATCCTCTCCTGTTCTTATTTGCTCTATATCGAACAGAAGCTCCTAGGTCATAGTTTCTGCTCCTGTTTTCATGAATGCAAACAGAATGGTAGAAGAGGAAACCAGAAAGATAGGCTAACAAAACACTGCAAACACTTGGAACTGGCACTGAGAAACAATTCCATACCTTTATGAGAAAGTTTTGTTCTCATGGTTTAAAGCAAAGTCAGATGATAAACACTGTATACTGTACCAGTGAAACCAAAGCACATGACTACAGCTGAACTAATACAGCTGAAATGCAAGAACTCTGGCTTAACTGGCTTAAGAGGCAACGGTTGTTTTTACAACCCAATAATTCACATAATGGTATGTGCCAGGAAGATCACTGCCGAAATACATTCCTGCTTTAATGCCCTTTTGCCACCTACAGCAAGGGTTTCCAAACACTTCGAAAGAAATAATAGTACCAA